TGTAAGACAAAGATAAATGTCTTGAGGATAAAGCTGTATAATTTTTGATACTATTGAAGTTGAGTGTGAATGATCCCAAAATCTGAGGTATAAATTTTGAGTTTTTAGTTTTTGTGTTCCTCTCAGGCAACAAAATTTATTAGCAAGCAGTGTTGAATAACAATATCTTGTAAGTGGAGTAGACCTAGGTGGTCAAGTAGTTGTAACGTCACACTTCTTACAGAAATCTGTTTATTATTCCTGACAGATAATTATCTAGTTTAAGTTTCAACATTTCTAATGACAGAAAAGAGAGTCTCTAATTTCATAAGGCATTTGCTTTTTTTTGGACATCTGAGCAAATGAACAGTTGTTGATTTTGAGGAGAAATTGGCCTTTCATTGTTTCACTTCTGCACTCATCTGCCTGGCTGCCTGTTTTTTTCTGTGTTTGTATCTGTTTTACACATATGATAGATCTACACTATTTAAAGAAAGCCATTAAAATTCTCCTGTGTTGGGAAGCCCCAGTGACCCAGTGGTTTAGCACCGCTGTCAGCCCAGGGCATGATCCTAGAGACCCTGGATGGAGTCTCATGTTGGGCTCCCTGCATGGAGCCTGCTTCTCCCTCTGCCTGTCTCTGCCTCTCTCTCTCTTTCTTTGTGTCTCTTACGAATAAATTTTAAAAACCTTAAAAAAAATTACCCTGTGTTTTCTAGGCTAAATATCCTCCATTTCCCCAACTATTCTTCATATAACATGTTGTTCTAGGTCATTCTTTAGCTTGGTCATCCTATTTGTCTTTTTTTTTTTTTTTTTTTTTTTTAGTCTTTCTTTATCTGGGCCACTCAGAACTAAATCTAATACTAATAAATGTCTCCTTTCCTTTAGACTGAGTGCTTCTGTTCTGCAGTTCAACTTTGTGTTGACATTTCTAGCACTGTTGCATTTTATTTTGCAATGAGTCCAAATCCTTTAGTATTTTTCACACATACCATTGATACCCTTTAATGTGCTTGAATATTTGAAGCAAGTGTATTGCTTTATATTTGTCGTTATGTCTTCTTTTTAATTTCTAATGTTGTTTATTATGCTTTCTTTCAATTTTCCTTGATATGTTTTCTACTTTTTAATAGTTTTTTCAGGGATCCCTGGGTGGCTCAGCGGTTTAGTGCCTGCCTTTGGTCCAGGGTGTGATCCTGAAGTCCCTGGATCGAGTCCCACATCAGGCTCTAAAACATGGAACCTGTTTCTCCCTCTGCCTGTGTCTCTGCTGCTGTCTCTCTCATGAATAAATAAAATCTTTAAAAAAAATAATAGTTTTTTCAAAGAACTGGCTATTGCTTTTATTGTTGCTTGCTGTTTTAATGAGTTTTCTCTCATAAATTTTTGCTTTTATTACAATTCCCTGCTTTAGGGTTGTACTTTTCCTCCTTCACTGCATTTTTGAGTTTGTGTTTCTTTTATTAATATGTACAGTTTAAGGCTATCGAGTTTATTAATATGTACAGTTTAAGGCCTCTGAGTTATTATTTCACCACTGATTTCCTCCTTAATCCAATTTTTTTTTTCGTTTACAAGGAGATCCTTTTCCTTTTGTTTCATATTTGCTCATCTAACTTTGTTATCCTATGGACAGAGGATGTGACTGTGATTTTTTTTGTCTTTGAATTTATTATTTCCTTATCACATATGTGATCAATATTATTATTATTATTTTAAAACTTATTTATTTATTCATGAGAGACAGAGAGAGAGAGAGGCAGAGACATAGGCAGAGGGAGAAGCAGGTTCCATGCAGGAAGCCCGATGTGGGACTCGATCCCAGGGCTCTGGGATCATGCCCTGAGCCAAAGGCAAATGCTCAGCTGCTGAGCCACCCAGGCATCCTTATAGTCAGTATTAATGTATGTTGAATGTGTTCATGAAAAATGCATATTCCGGGTTTGTTGGATATATAATTCTATTTTTCTATTAAGAAATAGATGCATTATTTATATTTCATTTTCTTCATTTGTAGATTTTATAAAGAGATCTGATTATGGATTTATTAGTTTCTTCCTGAATTTTTTAAACCTGTTTTTGTTTCATGTGATTTGAAGCGAAATAATTTGGTGGATTTTACCTTTTATCTATAGGAAATATATTTTCTTTTTGTCCAATTACTTGATTTTTCAATTTGAATTCTTTTTTCCATGATATGTGTATACTTACCTTTTTTTTGGTTAGCGTTTCCTTATTGTATCATTTTCTATCCTTTATATTTTTAACCATCCTATACTGTTTTAGTAGAAGGCATGTCTCTTGTTTATAATAATGCACATCTGATATTTTTGTTACTTTACCCAGTTTGAAACCTGATATGTTATTTTTAGATTGACAGCTCATTATTTTTGCCCCACAGTTCACAGCCCCTAAGTCTCTTAACTCCCATCTTATCTTATCTGAGATTTTAATTCCAACATACTTATTTTAGTTGATGGATTCTGTTATGTCAGCCAGCTCATGAGTTTTACTTGTTCCTTTGAGCTTTGATGTTTTCTTTTGGAGCATTATCTGAGTTCCCTAATTTGAGTTCCTCCCCCATTTCTTAGGTTCTTTTTCTGTCTGACTTTGTACTCTATTTTTTATGTAATTGTTTTAACAAAGGTCTGTTTCCTCAGTCTTTGCTCAGAAATAATATCTTTACTTCTTTATCCTATTGATAACTAGTTTTTCTGGCAATAGAATAATATGCTAAAAAATAACTTTTCCCCTGAACTTAGAGGATGTTGTTGTTTATTTTACCATTCAGTATTGCTGATGACAAGTCTGATGTCAGTTTAATTCTTATTCCTTTATAGTTAAATGATATTTTTACTCTAAGTTATTAATATTCTTCATTGGTTTTCTGAAGTTTTAACGCAAATATGTCTAGGTGTTAGGTTTTTGTGCTTGCTTTAATTTAGTCTGTTTTGGTAATTAGCAGGCCTGTTCTATGGAAAACATAGATATATTTTTAAATTTAACTCTGTGAATTGTTTTTCTTATTTTCTTTTCTCCTCAGTTCTTTTTTCTAAAACTCCTCATCACTGAAAGTTGTTGCTTCTGGGTATGTTCTTAGCTTTTCTGTTTTTCCTTTGTATAATATTTTGAGAGGACATCTGGTCTTGATTAAGTGTTTCTTACTTCAGCTGTGTCCATGCAGCTCTTTTTGTAAATTTCTAAGATTTTAGATTGATTTCTTTTCATATCTACTTGTTCTGTGGTTACAGTACCTCTTCAAAATATTTAATGTACTGTTTTAAAATGTTTTCTGTTCATTCTTCTAAGTAACTAGTTCTTTTGTTTGTGGAGTTTGGCATCTATTTTGTGATTATACTCTTTTTTTTTGTATTTGAGATTTCCTGTTTTACTTTGGGTCAGTGCTGACTGAAATGATTGCAAGGGGTTGGGAAGTGGTACTTGTACTTGCTCATGAGGAATGCTGGAAATTTATTCTTTGGGTGGTAGCCTTCCTTCCTTATCTCTTCTGTAGTTTAGTGTCTGGGTGGGGCAACTAATACATTTCTAAATGTCACTGCTACTCTGGCTTAGCATTAGCATGGAAGAGATTGGGAAAAGTGGAATGAGTTTAACTGTTAAGATACAAATTACATGAGTGGGTCTTCATTGTGAAAATTCAAACTGGCACATCTAAATGAAACTTGGCATTTATATTCCCTTGTCTTTCCCCGTGTGAACTTCTATAAACTAGTCAGGCATTTATCCTTCCAGACTTTAAAATATCACTTGCATGCCTATATTAATGTTAAGAAATAAATTATTTTTGTGTGTTTTAATAAATTACTTTTATAAAATGACTTTATAAAACCTGGAAACAATTTATCTACTACTTATATGTTTAAGTACTTTCTATTTTATTATCCCATTTAACCTGTGTAACATTTTTATGAGGAGAGGCATTGTTAGAATTTTAGTTTCATAGTTGAGGATACTGAGACAAAGAATGGATATATTATTCTGAACAGGTTACTTAGCTAGGAAATGATAGTGCCAGTATTCAAAAAGATATATCTGGCTCCAGCTTTTGCATTAGTGTTAAGAATTCTGCAATTACTTTGTTGTATGCTTTACATTCATGCCCATGAAAGAAATCTACAATATTCTTAACTTTTTAGTGTTAAGTCAGGATTCTCCACAGTATTTTTTTAAAAAAGATTTTATTAATTTATTAATTAGAGACACAGAGAGAGGAGCAAAGACATAGGCAGAGGAAGAAGCAGGCTTCTTGGAGGAAGCCTGATGCAGGACTTGATCCCAGGACCCTGGGATCATGCTGTGAGCCAAAGGCAGATGCTCAACCACTGAGCCACCCAGGCACCCCTCCACAGTATTTTTTAAATGCTGTTTTCTTAGCGATGCATGTTATATTTGTTTATATTTTTTTAATTTAAAGTCAATAAATTGTTGTTTAAGGAGTTTTGCATGTGACTCCTTCCACTGTCAGTCACCCTAGTTCCTCCGTAGTCAGAATCAAAATCTTCAAAATAGCCCTTTTAAAAATAACTTTTTGTTCAGTTCACAGTTGTCACTGCCATTCAGTCAGTAGTTCTTTTTGGATGGGTCTCTTTGATCTCTACTTGTGTATGGACATTCTGCAATAATTCCTCACTTGTAATTTTTGGTATCCAGTTTATTTAAGCAGTTTATTTAGGGTCATGTTTAGGATCTGCCTGGTTCTCAATGTCAGACACTCTCTAAACATGAGTAAGTTCAAATCATATTTACCACTAAATTATCACACCCTAGAATTGTATAGATTGTTGGGATATGCCAATAGTATTAAGTCCAGATGTTATGTTCTCAATTAAAACCTAAAGAGAAAGAAGGCATCTTTGTTTCAAGTCAACATTAAAATTAGAATACTAATTCGGTAGAGCTGAGATTTCCAGTATATCCTATGCTTTTAGTAATTTTATAGTCTTGGAACCAACCTTCATGTTTATTAGTGCCCTATCACTTTAGCCTCTTTTAGGTATCATGTTTTTTCTTATCTGTATCATAATTCATATTTGAACAATGAGTTCTGGATAATAAAAGGGGATTTATTTTTCCCACTTGTATAAAACTTTGTTCACAAACTAAACAAAAACAATATGTATTTTTGCTATTTTGGTAGAGGAGTAGGTATCCTGATACATTCCTTTATTTTTTTTTTTTTAATTTTTTTTTAAAATTTATTTATGATAGTCACAGAGAGAGAGAGGCAGAGACACAGGCAGAGGGAGAAGCAGGCTCCATGCACCGGGAGACCGACATGGGATTCGATCCCGGGTCTCCAGGATCGCGCCCTGGGCCAAAGGCAGGCGCCAAACCACTGCGCCACCCAGGGATCCCTGATACATTCCTTTAAAAAAAAATGTTAGTGTATCTTTTCTTTTAAACTTATTTTTATTTTTTTAGAGCAGAGGGGAGTGACAGAAATAATGTTATTTTTTTTTTGAAGATTTTATTTATTCATGAGAGACAGACAGAGAGAGAGAGAGAGAGGCAGAGACACAGGCAGAAGGAGAAGCAGGCTTCTTCCCACAAGGAGCCTAATGTGGGACTTGAACCCGGGTTGTGGGATCGCGCCCTGAGCCAAAGGCAGACACTCAACCACTGAGCCACCCAGGAATCCCTAGGGAGATAATCTGAAGCAGGCTCTCTGAAGCAGGCTCCATGCCCAGTGTGGAGCCTGATGAGGGACTTGATCTTAACAATCTTGAGATCATGACCCAAGCCAAAATCAAGAGTTAGGATGCTTAACGAATTCAGCCACCCAAGTGCCCCCAGTATGTTAGAATATCTTAAGAAATCCCATAATGTCTTTGGTGTGTCAAAATGGTGCAGTTTTTGCCTATTTTTCTTTAAAAATGGTTATGACAATGATGTCTCACTGCTATATATTATTTTATTGCTAATTATAGATAGTTGCCAGTCAGGTGTGAAAAACTGTATCTTCTTTTTGTTTAGTCTTTTTGTCATTATTAGTGAAGTTGAACATCTTTTATGTTTGTTTTATGATTCCCTGTTTATGATTTTTAATTTTTATTTTGAATTGGTTATCTTTTTCATTCACTAATAAGTATTCTTTTTTATTCTGGATACGAATTCCATATCACTATGCATTTTAGTTTTCAAGTATTTCTCAAAATTTGTGGTAACTTGTAGTGCTTTCTGTGCCTTTGAAAATTTGTGTTATTTCATATCTAGTCTGTTTGCTATTGTACTGGTATGATCAACTGCTATTTTGATTCATTTTCAACCATTTATTTCAAGATCTACTTAATTCTTATTAATTTGTGATGCTGTCTCTATCAGATATTATATTGCTTGTGTCTGTCTTCTGGATAATTTATTGCACTCCTCTCTTAATACTTTTTTTAAAAGATTTATTTATTTATTTATGATAGACACACACACACACACAGAGAAAGAGAGAGAGAGAGAGAGGCAGAGACACAGGCAGAGGGAGAAGCAGGCTCCATGCCAGGAGCCCGATGCGGGACTCGATCCCGGGATCCAGGATCGTGCCCTGGGCCAAAGGCAGGCGCCAAACCGCTGAGCCACCCAGGGATCCCCTCATCTCTTAATACTTATACTTCTTTGTCATATCCTCACATCTGAAAGGGAAAGCATCATTCTCTTTTGACTTTCAATTTTCTTCCTATTTTGCCATTTTTTAATAGATTAATTTCCAAAGTTTGTTATAATATAAAACATAACTTTTTTTTTGGCTAAACATTGTACCTAGAATTACTTCTAATAAGTTTCATCTGGGGGATCCCTGGGTGGCGCAGTGGTTTGGCACCTGCCTTTGGCCCGGGGCGCGATCCTGGAGACCCGGGATCGAATCCTACATCGGGCTCCCGGTGCATGGAGCCTGCTTCTCCCTCTGCCTGTGTCTCTGCCTCTCTCTCTCTCTGTGTGACTATCATAAATTAAAAAAAAAAAAAGTTTCATCTGGGAAGAAATTTATATTTTTCTACATTAAGCCTTGTGTCCAACATAAGTTTAATATTTTACATTTTGGGGGACACCTGGCTAGCTTAGTGACTGGGCGTCTGCCTTTGACTCATTGTGATCCTGGGGTCATGATCCTCGGGTCCTGGTATTGAGTTCCACATTGGGCTCCCCACAAGGAGCCTGTGTCTCCCTCTGCCTATGTCTTTGCCCCTCTCTCTGGGTCTCATGAATAAATAAATAAAATCTTTTAAAAAAAAGTTTTACATTTTTATTCTATACCTTTGTGAAGTTTTTCATATATGTCAGTGTTTCTAGATAGCTTTTCTTGCCATTCTGGAATAAATGTTTTCTTCTTGTATTTTCTGTGTTTGAGCTCTTACTGCCTTGGTAGGATTTCTAGAACAATATTGAGTATATTATCACACTTTCTGCTTTTGCCTTGAATGGAAATACCTGTGGTGTCTTACCACTAAATGTAGTTTCCCATTGGTTTGAAGTAGCTTGTATCAGCGTAAGGAGCATTCTTTATGTTCTTAATTTTTATTTTTATCAGTGAACGAATGTTGAAACATATGCCAGTGCCTTTTCAATATCTGTTGAAAGTTGACAGTTAATTTTTGTAACCATTTTGACTTGTAAATATATTTTTAGATGTGCTTAATTATTAGAGACGCTTACAATTAGAAACAGTGCAGTTTGGGGTAAAAAAAAAATATCTCTTCTTTTAGTAGTTAACCAGGCATAAGAGGACAAAGGAATTTGAAGAAAATGTATAGTTTCTTGTCTCTTGTCCTCACAGTCCCAACATAGAAAGTCTCAGGCCTGTCCCACAGACTGTTCTCCTAGTTTCTTCAAAGGCTGTTCTTGCACAATATAGTTATTAAGTCAATTGTTACGCCTTCAACGGTGATACGACGAATCATATTTCTTCTCTTTCCCGAGAGAATAACTTCAGAGTCTTAATTTCAACATTAAAAAGATGACAAAAAAAATTTAGGAGAGAAATATAATAAATATTTGGAAATACCAAAATGAAGTCCTTGATCTGAATTTGGGAATCTTTTAAAATAAGAGTTTGGCAACTTATTCTATTTATTATTGTATCTCTTTGTAATTTTTATTTCCTTTTCTTCATTTTGTAAATTCTGGAGGCTCTAGGCTCTGTTAAATATTTTCATGTGGCAGAGAGCCAGATTTCAGTGGCTCTGAGCTCCGCATGTTCCTGTTGCTTAGCAACTACTTGTGAAGTCTTGTGGATGTAACTGAATTATAAATAGGGTTATGAGCAGAAGTGAAGTTGAAATTGTAAAGAAAGGCATACTCTTTCCCCCCTCTTAGCTGAATTTGAGTGATTCTTTATGCAGAATCAGTTTTCAGAGATCTGGCTTATAAAAATTAGTACTAACTCTATCAGGAAGATGTTATAAGGGTTCTGTAGAAGTTTTGTTTATAATGACACATTCAAAAGCCTGATTTTGATTATTAAAAACAAATTGTTTTGGAGAGATGATGGTTAATGGAAAATAGAGAACTTCTAATTTTCATGGTCATTCAATTCAGATTTTATTGCCTGCATTTCTCTTTCTCATTTATATTAAAATCTACATGCAGTAACACTTAAATCTTACAGGATTTTTTTGTACTTTTAATCACATTGTGTTTTTAGAGTATCCTAAAAATTGACCCATAATAGTGACCATGTAGGCATTTGGTAAAGATTGAATACATGAAAAACACAGCCTACTTTTATAATTTTTCAGTAGAACAGTGGATTTTGGGGTAGATATTATTAAAATTTTATTTAATAATAAAAACTTAAAGGATTCTAAACAGTCTTCTAATTTAATTTGTTTATTCCAAGTGGAAAACTTTAGACTTAAAGGTGTTATTTAATGATTTATCTAAGCCAACAGTCCCCTGCACATCTGGGTTTTTTCTCTGTTAGTCTCTCTTGCTGATGCATATCTAGCAGCTCTTTTTTTTTTTTTTTTGCACTCATATTTCATTAGTCTGCACAAAATTTAATTGTATTCTGTAACTTATAATAAAAATGTACAACTGAATTCAGTAACAAGCACAACCAATATGAACAGACTTAGATGAGAACAGAAGAACGTGAGATCTCAGTGTATTTGTGGTTATCAGTCAATATGTGTATTGAATGGGTAGACAGCATTGGTTCATTTACTGTGGTGGTTAGAAGGAGAGTGGTTAAGAGAATTTCCAAAATATAGTGTTTTTGGTCCAATCTCTGCAGATTTTTTTTTTTTAAGGTTTTAAAAGATGAAACACAGGGATAATTCATGGTATGGGATGAGGGGACTCCCTATTTTCTTAGATTGCATCATGAACTGTTGATAGTAGCTTCTGACAGTTCAACCTGTGAAAATAAGCTTCTTAAGATTATTTGCCAGAAACAAGTAGATTGTATTTTTATTCATCATTAGTGAGAAAATTTTAGATATGGAATGTAATTTTTCTTTGTTTGCTTCCTGTGGGAGTGCTGGTCCATTCTGAGTTGTATGCCCAGGAGAGATCTTGCCATCAAAAGCATAGCGTTTTTCCTAAGTTTTAACTGAAGGAAAGATTTATTTGTGAAGAGTTACGGTAAATATAATTCTAATTAGATCTGCAAGGAGGGATAACATACCAACAATATTGCCTTGCTATAGAAAAGAAAAATAATAGGTACAAAGAGGAATTTGAGTTTGCCCCAGGATATGAAAGAAGGTTAAGGTTCTTCCTTTAGTTATGTTTGTTATTAAAACTACGCTTTTGTACACATAGGCTAGGGTCCCAGAACATCTGGCTCTCAGCTGGCATTTTAAACTCCTGTGAGTTCTTGAGGTAGAGGGCCAAGAGAGGGAGAAGAGAATGGAGAAATGAAAGGGTAAAATTTATCAAACTGTCTAAACTTCTCCAGGGCATTTTAGTTGCTGAACTAATTAACACCGAGGTGTCATTGATAATTCAGTGAATGGTGTGAATTTTTGGTATGAATTTTTGATAATTCATAACAAAAATTCAGATTGGTATGTGATAAGATGCATGGCTGTTCCACATAATTTTCTGCAAGCATCATGCTTTTTCTGTTTTCTTAAAATAAAACTGGCTAGTATAAGTGAATTTTTTAAAAAAAGTATTATAGCGGTT